TTCCTTAATGTATGTCCGATCCAATTCTTTCAACTATTAGTTATTTTATTTAGTATTGTTTGTTTGAATTAAGGCTATATCGAGGCAATACGCACAATATGCACATATGCCAATTAGAGACTGACCAGTTTCAGTCCTAACACATCGATGGGAAGATTCAAACAAACAATACTAAATGAATTTAAACTTCACCCCATCGCACAAGCAAGTGACTATCAGGACTCAATAGCTGAGTGGATAACGCGATGGCGTTTGAAGCGAAAGGTACTGGGTTCGATTCCCAGGGTGAACATCAACTGTGAGATGCATGTACATCCAACTGACGCGTCCCAAATAGGACGAAACGTGCGTGAAACTGGATTCCACTGCTACCCACTATCCATCTCTGCTTACCATTAGTTATTTTAGTTTTACAGATTTCAGCCATATAGTCGATAAGTTCATAAGTTGATTTCTCGTTTTGGATTAACTGCGTCTAGTCTGTTTGTTAAACAATTTTCCATTCTTCTTTATCTTTTTTTTTCTATCCTTTTATACTATTCCAATGCCTGGAAAGTTAGATCGATCTATACACCAGATACTTATCTTTTTTATTTTGTCCATTATTATCTTTATCTTGTTTTTACTTGTTATATAGTTGAGTAAAGAAGTAACTTTATCATATAATGGAGTAACTATTTTTTTTTGATGAATGATACTTGTATTAGAATTTTGTATTATAGTTAACTAGTAATGATCAATAACATAAGCAAATTTTATAACTTATATTTACCATTGATTGATCATTGAGTAGGTTAGTTGTGACTTAAATAGATGAAATAGTAATATCTTTGACTATGAAATTGAATCATACAGGATTTATTCCTCTTACTTACTTACTTACGCCTGTTACCCCTCGTCGAGGAGCATAGGCCGCTCACCAGCATTCTCCATCCAACTCTGTCCTGAGCCTTCCTTTCCAGTTCCTTCCAGGTACTATTCAGCCTTTTCATATCGGCTTCTATTTCTCGGCGTAGTGTGTTCTTTGGCCTTCCTCTTTTCCGCTTCCCTTCCGGATTCCAAGTTAGGGATTGAGTCGTGATGCACATTGGTGATTTCCCTAATGTATGTCCGATCCACTTCCAACGTCTTTTCCTAATTTCCTCTTCAGCTGGAAGCTGGTTTGTCCTCTCCCATAAAACGCTGTTGCTGATAGTATCCGACCAGTGGATGTTGAGTATTTTGCGTAGACAACTGTTTATAAATACTTGTACCTTCCTGATGATGGCCGTAGTAGTTCTCCACGTTTCAGCTCCATACAGTAGGACTGTCTTGACGTTCGTATTAAAGATTCTGACCTTGAAATTGGTTGAGAGTTGTTTTGGGTTCCATATGTTCTTCAATTGTAGAAATGCTGCCCTTGCTTTGCCAATCCTCGCCTTTACATCTGCATCCGATCCTCCTTGTTTATCAACGATGCTCCCCAGGTACTTGAATGTTTCCACCTCTTCCAGAGTTTGGCCGTCAAGTGTGATTGGGTTGATGTCGTCCGTGTTGCATTTGAGAATCTTGCTTTTTTCTTTGTGAATGTGGAGACCTATCGATGCATGTTTGAAGCATGTTTGCAGTTATTTCAATGTCTGACTTCAGTGCTTCTACTGGTATATTGTCAGGTCCTGCCGCCTTCCCACTTTTGATTTGTCTGATGGCCATCTTGACTTCTTCGATCGTTGGTGGAGTGACATCTATTGGAAGGTCTGTGTGGGCTGCTTCGATGTTCGGTGGATTCAATGGGGCTGGTCTATTCATCAGTTCCTCGAAGTATTCTGCCCATCTTTTCTTCTGTTCTTGAATCTCAGTGATTGTCTTTCCTTCTTTGTCCTTGACTGGTCTCTCTGGTTTGCTATATCTCCCTGCCAATTTCTTCGTTGTATCATATAGTTGTTTCATATTCCCTTCTCTTGCAGCTTTTTCCACCGCCGTTGCTAGTTCTCCCATGTATTTCTGCTTGTCGGCTTTAATGCTTTTCTTCACTTGCTGTTTGCTTCTGCGTAGTCTGCTTGTGCTTTGATTTTCTCTGCTCGTGTTCGGCTGTTGTTAATTGCTAGTCTCTTGTTCTTCCTTTCTTGAATTTTGTCCAGGATTCCCATACAGATCCATTCCTTGTGATGATGCTTCTTAGGACCAAGAAGTTAGTGCTTCTTTTATCCCTTTCCAGTTGTCCTCCAAAGTAGTTTCTTGTTCTTTCAGTAGATCCTGTAGAGCTTGGAACCTATTGTTGAGAGTTATCTTGAATTCTTGGAGCTTGTCAGTATCTCGAAGGAAGGCTGTATTAAACCTTTGTAGTGCTGTTTGTCCAGTTTTCCAGTGTTTCTTTAGCTTCAGTCTCATCTTGGCCACAACCAGGTGGTGATCTGAAGCTATGTCAGCTCCTCTCCGGGTTCTCACATCTTCCATTGATCTTCGGAATTTTTTGTTGATACAGATGTGATCTATCTGGTTCTCTGTGGTGTGGTCCGGTGAGATCCATGTAGCTTTGTGTATGCGTTTGTGTGGGAATATTGTGCCGCCTATAACCAATTTGTTGAAAGCACATAGGTTTGCAAGTCTCTCCCCATTTTCATTTCTTTCTCCTAGTCCATATCGTCCGATTATATCTTCATATCCTGTGTTGTCCACTCCTACTTTAGCATTTAGATCTCCCATCAGGATGGTGAGGTCCTTTCGTGAGCACTTTGCTACAATTGATTGCAGCCTTTCATAGAACTGATCTTTATCATCGTCGTTGCTATCCTTGGTGGGTGAATAACATTGGATAACGTTCATTGTGATCCCTTGCTTCTTTCTTCTGAATGATGCTTTGATTATCCTGGGTCCATGAGATTCCCATCCCACAAGTGCATTTTGTGCTTATATGGACAGCATTAGAGCAACTCCCTGAGTGTATGGAGCATTTTCCCCTTCGTGACCGGAGTACAGCAGCATCTCTCCTGTACCTAGCCTTTGTTGTCCAGTTTGTGTCCAATGGGTTTCGCTGATTCCGAGTACTGCCAAGTTGTATCTCCTCATTTCCATTGTTATTTGGCTGGTCTTTCCTGTCTCCCACATTGTCCGGACGTTCCATGTACCTATAAAGAGTGTTGCTCTGGTTGTTAGAAGGTGCATCGGTCTTGTGACTTCCGAAGAATTTCAGCTTTCATCATGAGACGTCATTATTCCTTCAACTCCCAGGGCAGAGTTTAAATGGTTTGTATTATTTTTTCTGGTTAGCGTTTTTTTAGCGAGTTAGCTTTTCTACGGGATGGGGTCGCTAACCCCATGCCCAACCCTCCTCCTTTACCCGGGCTTGGGACCGGCAGTAACTCTAGAAGAGCTACAGGCGGAGTTATTTATTCCTCTAAATCTCTCAATTTGTTCATTTACTTAGTTAAACACATAAATATTGGTACAAATGAGCACCAGATATATATGCATCGCACAAATCTCATTTGATTTGTGTAAGGGCTGAGTTACTGCTCAGGTGCCCAAACTGAAGCAGGTGGTTTTCTTAGGGGGCCACACCCCGAGCCTTTGACCAAAAGATCTGATCCACGAGGCAGTGAAGCATGGTAAAGCGATGCATTCCCATGGTAGTCGGTGACCAACAATTAGTTCATACGCCATATGTTTCCTCAGGATCCTGTAGGCCATGTGAACCATTGATTTGGAATCAGGGTTTTCCAACTCCCCTAGGTTGGCGCACCGTGTCCACCAACCCAGTTAGAGCACCGGACATTCGTTTTTCGTCCTCTCAATTTTGTAAACAACATCGGTGCCACGAGAAGACAGTGAGTAGGACTTCCCTCAAGAATACAAGTATACCTTGCTAACAACTGTTAAACAGAATGAAACCAAGATCCATGGTTACGTGTTGACTAATTCTGACTTGCACCTTACATTCATAACTTATATCTCATAGAATTAATTTAATATTATAGTATGTTCATTCAAAAGAAATCAACAAAATCATTCTTGAATTGAAATATGTGACTATCTGGACTCAGTAGCTGAGTAGATAATGTGATGGCGTTTGAAGCGAAAGGTACTGGTAGGTCCTGGGTTCGAATCTCGCGAGTGCGGGGTCGTGGATGCGCACTGCTGAGGAATCCCATAATATGACGAAACGGCCGTCCAGTGTTTCCAGGTTTTCCACGGTGGTCTAGCTTCAATTGACTCATGATCTTAACTATAAAATTACTAAATCTCCACAAAAAACCCCTTGTGATACTGCTTTGGAGTCCTAGAGTGAACATCAACTCTGAGATGCAGGTACATCCAGCTGACGGGTCCCAAATAGGACGAAATGCGCGTCAAACTGGATTCCACTGCTATCCACTGTCCATCTTTACTTACTATTTTATACATTCTTGTTATCATAATTGGTGTTGATTAACTGCTATCTATTATTTTTCTCAATATTAATCAATTGATGGTGTACCATGATTTTTTCTAATCGCTGACATTATATTCTTGGCTATTATCCATGAAGTTTGAGGAATTCATTGAGATGTTTAATAAAAAGATAATAGAGTTGTTTGAATCAATGACCAAACAGTAGTTTCTCTGTATGCTAGAAATTGAGTTACTCCTACTGTATGCTTTCTGAGCATAAGATATTCTTTATTTGTCTAGACTTTGATCAACTAATATAGTCTACTCTGTTAATGATTATCTTAATCGGGATCAATACTAACCTAGTTTAAACTCATTTACCAGGTATAGATTCATCTATTTGTCTACGAGCCATATTATAAGTATACATTCTAATGAGTGATACGACCTAGTTGCACAAACTGAATTCGGGGTTCAAACTCGTCTCCTTGCGGTTAGAATTTGAATGGCTCTACACACTGTCTTACTGATCTACAAATACTGTCTAGCCTAATTATTCACAATTCATTTGAAGTATAATTTCCTATTTGATATTCTTTCTTTTATTTCACCATTTGCTATCCATTTTTCTAACTTTTAAAACAATATAGTCAATAAGTCGTCAATATTTACATCTTATTGTCAATGAAAAATTAGAGAATAGTTTGTTAAACCAAATTCAATTGTCCAATGATTTCATTCATCGGGCCCGTTTGGATAGTGGGAATGTATTAGTGTGCAGGTAAGCTTTATATGTATATTTATGTATATATCATTTCATCATATTGTGTAGCCACGCGTATATAGACTCTGCCAGGAAATTCCTTCTCGTGGCATTACTTTTGTTTACGAAATTGAGAGGACGAAAAGCGAATGTCCGGTACTTTAACCGGGTTGATAGACACGAAAAGTTCACATAGGCGAGTTGGAAAACCCTAATTCCAAATCATTGGTACACATGGGATCCAACATCCTGTAGGAACAAATGGCGTATGAACCAATTGTTGGTTACTGGCTACCATAGAAACTCCGCCTGTAGCTCTTCTAGAGTTACTGCCGGTCCCAAGCCCGGGTAAAGGAGCAACACTCTTTATAGGTACATGGAACGTCCGGACAATGTGGGAGACAGGAAAGACCAGCCAAATAGCAATGGAAATGAGGAGATACAACTTGGCAGTACTCGGAATCAGCGAAACCCATTGGACACAAACTGGACAACAAAGGCTAGGTACAGGAGAGATGCTGCTGTACTCCGGTCACGAAGGGGAAAATGCTCCATACACTCAGGGAGTTGCTCTAATGCTGTCCATATAAGCACAAAATGCACTTGTGGGATGGGAATCTCATGGACCCAGGATAATCAAAGCATCATTCAGAAGAAAGAAGCAAGGGATCACAATGAACGTTATCCAATGTTATTCACCCACCAAGGATAGCAACGACGATGATAAAGATCAGTTCTATGAAAGGCTGCAATCAATTGTAGCAAAGTGCTCACGAAAGGACCTCACCATCCTGATGGGAGATCTAAATGCTAAAGTAGGAGTGGACAACACAGGATATGAAGATATAATCGGACGATATGGACTAGGAGAAAGAAATGAAAATGGGGAGAGACTTGCAAACCTATGTGCTTTCAACAAATTGGTTATAGGCGGCACAATATTCCCACACAAACGCATACACAAAGCTACATGGATCTCACCGGACCACACCACAGAGAACCAGATAGATCACATCTGTATCAACAAAAAATTCCGAAGATCAATGGAAGATGTGAGAACCCGGAGAGGAGCTGACATAGCTTCAGATCACCACCTGGTTGTGGCCAAGATGAGACTGAAGCTAAAGAAACACTGGAAAACTGGACAAACAGCACTACAAAGGTTTAATACAGCCTTCCTTCGAGATACTGACAAGCTCCAAGAATTCAAGATAACTCTCAACAATAGGTTCCAAGCTCTACAGGATCTACTGAAAGAACAAGAAACTACTTTGGAGGACAACTGGAAAGGGATAAAAGAAGCACTAACTTCTTGGTCCTAAGAAGCATCATCACAAGGAATGGATCTGTATGGGAATCCTGGACAAAATTCAAGAAAGGAAGAACAAGAGACTAGCAATTAACAACAGCCAAACACGAGCAGAGAAAATCAAAGCACAAGCAGACTACACAGAAGCAAACAAGCAACTGAAGAAAAGCATTAAAGCCGACAAGCAGAAATACATGGGAGAACTAGCAACGGCGGTGGAAAAAGCTGCAAGAGAAGGGAATATGAAACAACTATATGATACAACGAAGAAATTGGCAGGAGATATAGCAAACCAGAGAGACCAGTCAAAGACAAAGAAGGAAAGACAATCACTGAGATTCAAGAACAGAAGAAAAGATGGGCAGAATACTTCGAGGAACTGCTGAATAGACCAGCCCCATTGAATCCACCGAACATCGAAGCAGCCCACACAGACCTTCCAATAGATGTCACTCCACCAACGATCGAAGAAGTCAAGATGGCCATCAGACAAATCAAAAGTGGGAAGGCGGCAGGACCTGACAATATACCAGCAGAAGCACTGAAGTCAGGCATTGAAATAACTGCAAACATGCTTCACCTTCTATTCAAGAAGATTTGGGAAGAGGAACAAGTGCCAACGGACTGGAAAGAAGGATATCTCATCAAGATACCAAAGAAAGGAGATCTGAGCAAATGCGAGAACTACAGAGGCATTAGTTTGTTATCAGTACCAGGAAAAGTTTTCAACAGAGTGCTGCTGAATCGGATGAAAGACGCAGTAGACGCCGAACTAAGGGATCATCAGGCTGGATTCCGTAAGGATCGGTCGTGCACAGACCAGATTGCGACACTACGGATCATCGTTGAACAATCAGTTGAGTGGAACTCATCACTATACGTCAACTTTATTGACAACGAGAAGGCGTTTGACAGCGTGGACAGGAGAACATTATGGAAACTTCTTCGACACTATGGAGTTCCTCAGAAGATTGTCAACATTATCCAAAACTCATACGATGGATTACAGTGCAAAGTGGTGCATGGAGGACAGCTGACAGATGCATTTCCAGTAAGGACCGGAGTCAGACAAGGCTGTCTACTCTCCCCATTCCTCTTCCTTCTAGTGATTGACTGGATTATGAAGAATTCGACATCTGAAGGGAAATACGGAATACAATGGACCTCTCAGAATCAATTAGATGATTTGGACTTCGCAGATGACCTTTCCCTCCTCTCTCATACACACGAACAAATGCAGATGAAGACAGCAAATGTAGCAGCAGCCTCCGCATCGATAGGTCTCCACATTCACAAAGAAAAAAGCAAGATTCTCAAATGCAACACGGAGAATACCAACCCAATCACACTTGACGGCGAAACTCTGGAAGAGGTGGAAACATTCAAGTACCTGGGAAGCATCGTTGATAAACAAGGAGGATCGGATGCAGATGTAAAGGCAAGGATTGGCAAAGCAAGGGCAGCATTTCTACAATTGAAGAACATATGGAACTCAAAACAACTCTCAACCAATTTCAAGGTCAGAATCTTTAATACGAACGTCAAGACAGTCCTACTGTATGGAGCTGAAACGTGGAGAACTACTACGGCCATCATCAGGAAGGTACAAGTATTTATAAACAGTTGTCTACGCAAAATACTCAACATCCATTGGCCGGATACTATCAGCAACAGCGTTTTATGGGAGAGGACAAACCAGCTTCCAGCTGAAGAGGAAATTAGGAAAAGACGTTGGAAGTGGATCGGACATACATTAGGGAAATCACCAATGTGCATCACGACTCAATCCCTAACTTGGAATCCGGAAGGGAAGCGGAAAAGAGGAAGGCCAAAGAACACACTACGCCGAGAAATAGAAGCCGATATGAAAAGGCTGAATAGTACCTGGAAGGAACTGGAAAGGAAGGCTCAGGACAGAGTTGGATGGAGAATGCTGGTGAGCGGCCTATGCTCCTCGACGAGGGGTAACAGGCGTAAATGATGAATGAATGATGATGGCTACCATAGAACTGCATCCTCTTACGTTGTTTCACTGCCTTGTGGATTAGACCTGTAGGTCAAAGGCTAGGGGTGTGGCCTCCCCAAGAAAACCACCTGTTTCGGTTTGGGCACCAAGATAGTATTTCAGGCCTCATACAAGTCGAATGATTTATGTGGTGCATATCTATTTGATACCTCCTTGTACCAATGTGTGTAAACTTTGTTATTATTGTGGCTAGTAATGGAATCCAAGACGTGCGTTTCGTCCTATTTCGGAACTCATCATCTGGATGTGCCTGAATCCCAGGGGTCATGTTCACTCCGTTACTTGAACCTATTACTGTTCGCTTCACATGGTTGTATAGACCAGATATTCACTCTACGTCAGGTCCTAGAACATAGACATATTTAGACGTCCCATAATCTTAGTATTTCTCGACCTTAAGGCGGCATTTGACTCTGTTGATTGTGAGGTTCTGTGGCAGTGTTCGCCACTGAAATGAGTACCGAAGAAGTACATTAACCTCATAAAGGCTCTCTACTCGAACACAACTGGTCTAGTTAGAGCCTATGGCGAACTGTCATCAGAATTAATTACCTCAAGTGGTGTTCGTCAGGGCTGTCCACTCTCTCCATTCTTGTTTAACTTTATCGTTGACATGCTTTCAGAGATAACACTTTCATCATCTCAATTTCCAGGAGCTGAACTTTTACCAGTAAGCTCACTTGTTGACTTAGAATACGCCGACGACATAGTTTTACTCGGTGAAGACGCTGACAACATGCAGAGTCTTCTGACCACTATAAGCAACTATGCAGGCATGTTCGGGATGCGATTCTCTCCCTCGAAGTGCAAAATGTTACTTCAGGATTGGGTTGCATCGACACCTGAACTAATGATATGGAGTGAAGTAGTTGAGCGTGTTGACAGCTTCACTTGTCTTGGGAGTCTTATCAGCCCTAGTGGTCTGGTGTGAGACGAAATCTCAACACGGATACAGAAGGCTCGTCTAGCTTTCGCCAACTTGGGTCATTTATGGCGTAGGCGAGATATCCGTCTAGCAACCAAAGGACGGGTTTACTGTGCAGCAGTCCGTTCCGTCCTACTTTATGGCAGTGAAACATGGCCGATAAGAGTAGGGGATATTTGTAGGCTACTAGTGTTCGATCATAGGTGTCTTCGACGCATTGCTCGTATATCCTGGGACCACCGGGTAAGTAATGCAGATATTAGGAAACGGGTACTAGGTAAGGATGGCAAATCGATTGATGAAGTTGTGAAACTTCATCATTTGACATGGCTGGGACATGTGTTACGTATGCCCAACCACCGACGTGCAATGCTTTGTGGTGTAGTAGCAGGTTGGAAGAAAGCTAGGGGCGGCCAGACCAAAACATGGCACAAATCCATAAAGTCACTGACAATTGGACTGAGCCATGTTGGTAGGTTTAGACTACCTGGTTGGGATTCGCGAGATGATAGCAATCGATGGTTAGAGACCTTGAATGATATGGCTCAAAATCGTTTGCAATGGCGAAGGTGCATACAATGTTTGTGTTCTGCCAAATTCTAATCTTAATTCTTCATGTCCGTATCCTTTTTCTCTTTCCAAATTTATTTCACCGTATTATACTCCTTGATTAACATCTCCAAACCCTAATCTTATATATTTATGCTTATACTCTTACTACTTGTACCATTATGGAATTAGAATCGACAACTTCATCTCTGTGCTAATATGGTATGGCAACTCGAACTGATGTACGTACGTGCTTGCGAAGTTCTACTTTGTGACTGACTGACTGTTAGCTTCAAATGCCATCTCGTTATCCACATAGCTACTGAGTTCAAATAACCTCCAACTTGTACAATTGTATGAAGTTGTAATTCATTTTTGTATTAGTTGTTTATTAAATAATTTTTTATCATTTTTTTTCCACATTTCTTCTTTTCATCAGTGACTCAGGTCTATCAGCTAATGTAGCTGTTGTTACAGCTTATTTAATGACTATTTATTCATTAGATTATTATTCAGCTATTGGTGCTTTAAGAAGTTTACGATATGGTGCACATCCAGTTGAACCTTTACAAAAACAATTAATAGAATTTGATAGGGAAACTAATGAAAAATCCATTCATAATCCTCATCGAGAACAAGAACAGCAACAACAACCACAACAACAAGCTGAATTATTAGATTCTTTTAAAAATCCATTAAATTCCACAATATATTTAACTATAACATCAGCATCAGAACGTGAACGATTAAATTCAATTTATGGTGAATGGCCATATCTTGAAGTATGTCTTTTTTGTTCTTTTCTTTTCTTTTACTTTATTATATAATAAGGGAGTTGATGAATTTTCATCGACTGAGATGGTTAGACCACGTGTTACGTATGCCTGAACACCGATTACCACGACGCGCGAAGCTGACTAGTGTAGGGAATGGTTGGAATAAAGTTAGGGGCTGCCGAACCAAAACATGGCATCAGTGCTTGAAGTTACTAACTTCTTGTCTTAAGCATGATGATAGATGTAGACTACCTGGTTGGGTTCACGTGACTATCGTAACCAATGGTTGGAGACTGTATGACATGACTCATAATTGATCACAATGTCGTATAGGTGTATACAGTCTTTATCTTCCCTTAAACCTTGAGAATAAAATTGTTTCATAACTTTTTCCCTTCCTATATTATATACTTATATCCAACTTATCTTTCATATATTACTACCACTAAATTAACTACTTCTATGAATCTAGTGTTCATCTTGTTGTGCTAACGAGGTATGGCAATCTGGACTGATGCATATATGTGCCGGGTCCAACGTTGTAGCTGACTGACTGATTATATGATAATTGATAATTATTATCAAATGTTTCGTCCATCAAACTTATCTAGACCTTCTCTAGCATAAATAATCAAATCAAATCTATACAATAAGTGATTATGTAATCCTATTCAGAAAGGAATTAACTTTAATTGTTTGTATAATATAAGTCAGTTAGATATGAATCATGTGAAAAGTTTATAATGTCAATTTAAATGTATAAATGATTATGTGTATTTATGTATGTAGGTTCGAACTATTAATTTGTTTAAATTTTCTTTTGAAACGTCTATTTTGTATGTGGAAATGTGAATTATCAAATACATAAATAGAAAAGGGGTTTTATCAAGATTATAGTAGTTTTCTACATAGCTGAAATCATGAGTCAATGGAAGTTAGACCACTATGGAAAACCTGGAATAATTGGACGGCCGTTTCATCCTATTGTCGGACTCCTCAGCGGTGCGCATCCACGATCCCGCTTCGCGAGCACTTAACCACTAGACCACTGATCCGGCATCCAACGGTGTTAATGTCTAACTTCAACTTACTTACTTACTTACTTTACTTTTCACTTATATGATGGACTAAACTGCCAAATCGTCCACGGAGGACAACTCACCGACTCGTTTGAAGTAAAGACCGGTGCTAGGCAAGGTTGCTTACTCTCACTCTTTCTCTTTCTCCTGGTGATCGACTGGATCATAAAGACGTCAACGACTGGAGGAAAGCACGGGATACAGTGGACAGGCTGGATGCAACTTGACGATCTAGACTTCGCGGATGATCTGGCTCTTCTATCACAAACGCAACAACAAATGCAGGAGAAAACGACCAGTGTCTAACTTCAACCAATCCACGAAATTGAACAATCATTCACTGTTGTCTTCAGTGAGTTGATATCCCACAAAAGACCTAGTTGAACTCCATTGGTCACTGTTTCTCATTAGAACTCCAGGAAATACCTCATGGAACCAGTTACTAGTGAGCATATGTTGATTAATATCAGTTTTTTTGTCGATATTATGGTAATTTTAATAGTTGATAGGTCCTGGGTTCGAATCTCACGAGGCAGGATTTTGGGTGCACACTGTTGAGGAGTCCCACAATAGTATGAAACGGCCGTCCAGTGCTTCCAGGTTTTCCATGGTGGTCTAGCTCTAATTGACTCATGATTTCAATTATATAAAAGATACATAATTGTGCTTACTTACTTACTTACTTACGCCTGTTACCCCTCGTCGAGGAGCATAGGCCGCTCACCAGCATTCTCCATCCAACTCTGTCCTGAGCCTTCCTTTCCAGTTCTTCCCAGTTACTATTCAGCCTTTTCATATCGGCTTCTATTTCCCGGCGTAGTGTGTTCTTTGGCCTTCCTCTTTTCCGCTTCCCTTCCGGATTCCAAGTTAGGGATTGAGTCGTGATGCACATTGGTGATTTCCCTAATGTATGTCCGATCCACTTCCAACGTCTTTTCCTAATTTCCTCTTCAGCTGGAAGCTGGTTTGTCCTCTCCCATAAAACGCTGTTGCTGATAGTATCCGGCCAATGGATGTTGAGTATTTTGCGTAGACAACTGTTTATAAATACTTGTACCTTCCTGATGATGGCCGTAGTAGTTCTCCACGTTTCAGCTCCATACAGTAGGACTGTCTTGACGTTCGTATTAAAGATTCTGACCTTGAAATTGGTTGAGAGTTGTTTTGAGTTCCATATGTTCTTCAATTGTAGAAATGCTGCCCTTGCTTTGCCAATCCTTGCCTTTACATCTGCATCCGATCCTCCTTGTTTATCAACGATGCTTCCCAGGTACTTGAATGTTTCCACCTCTTCCAGAGTTTCGCCGTCAAGTGTGATTGGGTTGGTATTCTCCGTGTTGCATTTGAGAATCTTGCTTTTTTCTTTGTGAATGTGGAGACCTATCGATGCGGAGGCTGCTGCTACATTTGCTGTCTTCATCTGCATTTGTTCGTGTGTATGAGAGAGGAGGGAAAGGTCATCTGCGAAGTCCAAATCATCTAATTGATTCTGAGAGGTCCATTGTATTCCGTATTTCCCTTCAGATGTCGAATTCTTCATAATCCAGTCAATCACTAGAAGGAAGAGGAATGGGGAGAGTAGACAGCCTTGTCTGACTCCGGTCCTTACTGGAAATGCATCTGTCAGCTGTCCTCCATGCACCACTTTGCACTGTAATCCATCGTATGAGTTTTGGATAATGTTGACAATCTTCTGAGGAACTCCATAGTGTCGAAGAAGTTTCCATAATGTTCTCCTGTCCACGCTGTCAAACGCCTTCTCGTTGTCAATAAAGTTGACGTATAGTGATGAGTTCCACTCAACTGATTGTTCAACGATGATCCGTAGTGTCGCAATCTGGTCTGTGCACGACCGATCCTTACGGAATCCAGCCTGATGATCCCTTAGTTCGGCGTCTACTGCGTCTTTCATCCGATTCAGCAGCACTCTGTTGAAAACTTTTCCTGGTACTGATAACAAACTAATGCCTCTGTAGTTCTCGCATTTGCTCAGATCTCCTTTCTTTGGTATCTTGATGAGATATCCTTCTTTCCAGTCCGTTGGCACTTGTTCCTCTTCCCAAATCTTCTTGAATAGAAGGTGAAGCATGTTTGCAGTTATTTCAATGCCTGACTTCAGTGCTTCTGCTGGTATATTGTCAGGTCCTGCCGCCTTCCCACTTTTGATTTGTCTGATGGCCATCTTGACTTCTTCGATCGTTGGTGGAGTGACATCTATTGGAAGGTCTGTGTGGGCTGCTTCGATGTTCGGTGGATTCAATGGGGCTGGTCTATTCAGCAGTTCCTCGAAGTATTCTGCCCATCTTTTCTTCTGTTCTTGAATCTCAGTGATTGTCTTTCCTTCTTTGTCCTTGACTGGTCTCTCTGGTTTGCTATATCTCCCTGCCAATTTCTTCGTTGTATCATATAGTTGTTTCATATTCCCTTCTCTTGCAGCTTTTTCCACCGCCGTTGCTAGTTCTCCCATGTATTTCTGCTTGTCGGCTTTAATGCTTTTCTTCAGTTGCTTGTTTGCTTCTGTGTAGTCTGCTTGTGCTTTGATTTTCTCTGCTCGTGTTTGGCTGTTGTTAATTGCTAGTCTCTTGTTCTTCCTTTCTTGAATTTTGTCCAGGATTCCCATACAGATCCATTCCTTGTGATGATGCTTCTTAGGACCAAGAAGTTAGTGCTTCTTTTATCCCTTTCCAGTTGTCCTCCAAAGTAGTTTCTTGTTCTTTCAGTAGATCCTGTAGAGCTTGGAACCTATTGTTGAGAGTTATCTTGAATTCTTGGAGCTTGTCAGTATCTCGAAGGAAGGCTGTATTAAACCTTTGTAGTGCTGTTTGTCCAGTTTTCCAGTGTTTCTTTAGCTTCAGTCTCATCTTGGCCACAACCAGGTGGTGATCTGAAGCTATGTCAGCTCCTCTCCGGGTTCTCACATCTTCCATTGATCTTCGGAATTTTTTGTTGATACAGATGTGATCTATCTGGTTCTCTGTGGTGTGGTCCGGTGAGATCCATGTAGCTTTGTGTATGCGTTTGTGTGGGAATATTGTGCCGCCTATAACCAATTTGTTTTAAGCACATAGGTTTGCAAGTCTCTCCCCATTTTCATTTCTTTCTCCTAGTCCATGTCGTCCGATTATATCTTCATATCCTGTGTTGTCCACTCCTACTTTAGCATTTAGATCTCCCATCAGGATGGTGAGGTCCTTTCGTGAGCACTTTGCTACAATTGATTGCAGCCTTTCATAGAACTGATCTTTATCATCGTCGTTGCTATCATTGGTGGGTGAATAACATTGGATAACGTTCATTGTGATCCCTTGCTTCTTTCTTCTGAATGATGCTTTGATTATCCTGGGTCCATGAGATTCCCATCCCACAAGTGCATTTTGTGCTTATATGGACAGCATTAGAGCAACTCCCTGAGTGTGTGGAGCATTTTCCCCTTCGTGACCGGAGTACAGCAGCATCTCTCCTGTACCTAGCCTTTGTTGTCCAGTTTGTGTCCAATGGGTTTCGCTGATTCCGAGTACTGCCAAGTTGTATCTCCTCATTTCCATTGTTATTTGGCTGGTCTTTCCTGTCTCCCACATTGTCCGGACGTTCCATGTACCTATAAAGAGTGTTGCTCCTTTACCCGGGCTTGGGACCGGCAGTAACTCTAGAAGAGCTACATAATTGTAATGCTACAATATTTCTTATTAACTTCTGTCACAATAACGATACATGTGAAATGAACAGGTTGAATGGAGACAGAGTTCAATTTCATGTTAATGAATATTTGCCATGTGGTAGTTAGTTGAATACCATCTTTTCTTTTCAGATTGTTCTTATTAACTCATATATACAGCACTTCTGCTGTTAATCTTTCTGAAGTATTTTGATTCCTTAAAATTTAATCTTGTGTCCCGTTTTTTCAACGCATATAACTCTATCGCCAAC